TAAATATATTAAATAATAAACACACTATCGCCATGCTGCGTATTTATCTACCAAAAGCTATACGGATCTGAAACGTTTATTATTTTATTATTTTTTTTTAATTTTTCCAACTTCAGTTATTATCATGATTTTCTTTTATTTTTTATTTATTTATATTATTTTTTTAGATTTCAATATTTATTTATTAATCTTTTTATTTGATTTTACTTTAAGACATTAAATTAATGTGAATGGGAAAGGCATCACTGAAAACCGAATTTACTAACTAAATCGATACGAATTAAATGACCCAAGAAATAAGCATTAACTGTTAATGAACCTATACATTAGTCGATATAACTTTTATAAATTATTTCAAACATTAACGATTTTTATGCATGTGAATATGAGATGGAATATCGATATTGTATGATGGTAAATTATTTTTATATATACATGTGAATATGAGATGGAAGATCGATATTGTATGATGGTAAACTATTTTGGGTAAGATATAATTATAGGTTTGATTTCCAATGGATCCCTATCAATGTTGGTCTCCCTTATAGGTCCATTAATTTGAATTGAAATTGGACTTGGACGTTCCGACTGAAATCTGTAAGCTCAATATCCCAGTTTATAGGTCCAGTGGGATGAAGTTGGTCCAATCTCCTAGCACTGATCCATATCGTTTCAACTATAATCACTTCATAAAATCTTATTTCACAAGTTTATTTTACAATTCGCAGACAAAGGTAATTTATTTAACCGACAGCTCATCTTTCTTAGTTTTTTTCACTACAGAAAAGTTTTTCTTATTGCACCAAACCTAACTTTAATTCTAGACTAACTTAATTCTAGACTAATTTAATTCTAGACTAATTTAATTCTAGACTAATTTAATGACAATGACTAGAATTACTTTTGAAATTAGCTGTCGGTGAAATAAATTGAGTTGTTGATAAATAATAAACAGTCTGTGAACTTCTCAGATTAAGTCTAATATTGCTAACACCTTCCACTTTGAACAGGGTTTTGATGAATTATTATGTGACAAAAAATAAATAACTAATATATTCAGTGTTGTTCCTGGACATGGACCTGAACATGGACTGTTCATAGACAGAGAGACTATAGAGAGTCCATGTCCATGTCCATGGACTGTCTATGTCCACGTGTCCAGGAACAATACTAATATATTATTAGTTAGCTATTATTTGTCACATAATGATTCATCACAACCCTGTTCAAAATGGAAGGTGTAAGCTATTCGACTTAATCCGACCATATTTTACCAAGCTTATTTTACACACGATTAATTTACAGACAAGTTCATTTTGTAGACAGTATATTTCACTGATAGCTCATTTCACAAAGTAATTCTAGTCATTGTCGTTAAGTTAGGTTTATAATTGGAACTTAGGTTAGTGCAATTTATAAAATATTGTCGGTGAAATATAATGTCTACAGAATAAACTTGTCTTTAAATATTAATCATCTGTAAAATAAGCTTGACGGTGAAATGTGGTGTCTTTGAAATGATTGTTGGTGAAATGATACGGACCCATGTGCTCCTATTTTTGCACATAAGTTATAACCAACTGATCCAAGTTACAAATTTTAAATAACTTTATCAGACTAATAGAGGACTTACTATCCACAGTTATGTTAAGCCTTTTAAGCATTGTAACATATTCATTTTCCTAACATTCACCATTTATGTAATGACCTTGGCCGACAAGCCTCATGCGTCACCTAAGCCTTCTTTTTTTACCATTATTATTATATTATTATTTATTTATTTTTTATCGGGATAAATATATAGTTATATCCCGGGTATTATTCAAGAATAAAGCCAGATGAGTAAATATTACGGTAATTTTAAGAGGCACTACATGCAGTGCTATACGATACTAACGAAAAAAATCTACTCGCAGATCCAATAATAGTATTTGGCATAATTCTCTCACCAATTCCGTAATGATACCGGTAACAAAATGGCAGTATTAAAAAAAATTCACATCTGATTTTAGATAATGGCTAAACGCTTTGTTCTTGTCGTTATCTGTTATTCCAATTCCTAAACAATAACAAAACTTGATACATTCCATTAAGATAATAAATGAATGCCTTATTCTCGTTTTTTCAACTCCGATTCCGTATTCGTAACAATAGAGTAAAATCTGGTCAATTATTAATGTACTACAATGTAGTTAAACCGCAAACACGAGAATACGTGCGAAATCACACATAGATTGCAGATATTGATGATTAAAATTTTTTGGTCCAAGCCGATAAAATTTTATAAGCTTGGTCGGCTTAGTCAAAAAATTTTTAGTTAATCAAACTAGGCTTATTAATTAAACAATGAATAGATATGGGCAGTGTTGTCATTTGGCTGGCCATTGGCCAAATTGGGCAAAAAAATTAATTTGGCCGAAATAGGTAACCAAATATTCATATAACAAAGCTAGCTATATATGATTGGTTAATGTTATATAAATTAAAAACTTTTGGCCAACGGCCATGGCCATTTCCTATTTTGGCCGGTCAAAGGCCAAAAAAATTGTTTGGCCACAAGAAATTGCCATACACTGCAATTTTTATCTAAATTAGTAAAATAACGAGATATTCTATTATGCGAAACAACTAATCAGAATATTGTCTGGCGAATCGAATTCATTGTTTGTATGTAATAATTTATATGTCTGAAATTTAAATTAGTGTACTGTACGTATCACAAACATTTGACCATATTGTTCATAGGACGATGCCATCCACATAGCATAAACTTTCATGTACTTATGCGGTGTCACGGACTTGAATTCAAAGGTAAAACGGTCCACCAGAGACATGGCTAAGACGATTTTGGTCTCGAATAGTTTCGTTACAATTATCTCTATGTACCCCTTATCGCACTTAGGAACCACTTCTATTGTTACATCCTTTAGTCTTTTTTAATAGTAATAAGAATAAAGGGACTTAACCTTACTTTTTTATCGGCTCTGCCAGAAGCTTTATTTGAAATGCCACACTCTGTTATTCATATCTATCATTAAGAATGTCGCGTTTGTTTATCTCGGTCTATTATTCGATTTTGGCCGACAAACCTCGTGTCATGACCAATTATTTCATAGCCAGGATCATTGTAACATCACGATTCTTCGGTAACGAACATTTATGGCACAGTCTCATTTTATCTTCGGTCTATATAGTATGGATAAACTAACGTACGTAGTGATGGGACTACCGAGTTGTTAGTTAATAATAAAACAATTATTAATTGGTTAATAATAGTTAGTAATAGTTAATAATTTCGGTAATTATTAAAAATTGTTATGCAAGCATTTTAATAACTTCATATCTGATATTGTTTGGGTCAAAATCCCGACAAACCATCCTGACAACCAAATCCCCGGCAAAAATTAAACATAATTCAGCTAACATTAATCGTACTAATACCACTATACATTATTAAGTAGTTTTTAATTAATAACTCGGGCCAATTGTTAATAATTATTATTAATTATTAATAATGCGAAAGGTCCCATCACTAAACGTACGTATAAACATTAATAAAATCTAGTCTTCGAAGACTTTAAAAAAAAAAACGGATTCATTACGAAGCGACAAGTTACACACTGTAAGATTCTGTAATTCTGCACTAATTGCCACACTAATTGTCAATTAACAATGTACGCACGTAGATGCAGAAATACCATAATATAATGCAGTAATGCTGCAGTTCAGTAATTTTGACATAATTAGTATGATTTAATGTAAGAAACGTTGAACACATGGACCCTGTTCAATGCTCCTTAAAATTTAATGTTGAATTGATGTTAATGTAGAAGGCATTAAATTCACAGATTCGCAGATCTTGCATAAACGTTAATATTTAAATGTTAATTCAACATTAAATTAGGTCATTACCCCGATAATAAAGAAACAGCAAACTTTTTATTAGTTCAACGAAAATGGAAAATGAAACCGTTGGAGAGACAATTTATTTGTATAGGTAGCATTAGCTCTAACCCTGACTTTGACCTAACTTAATTATTTGATTGTTAAACAGTGACACTGCTACACTTTATCTCTAACAAAGCTCTGGACACATGAAAGTTATTTTTTCAATTTGCATTCCTCTTAGTGAGTTACAGTATACATGAGCATGCATTACTTTACATTATATATGTACTGTACGTTTGTATTGTATGTAGTTATAAAAGTTTAAATACTCAAGAATTAGTGATGCCTGACGAAACCATGTGATGCTAATAATCACATGCTATTACTTATAAAAAATCAAAAATAGTTCGTTGATTTTTATATATTGTACCATGTGACAATTAGCATCACATGGTTTCGTCAGGCATCACTATTCAAGAATATTGATTTATATCACCTGTTCTTTATCAGAACTAAATATTCCAAACTTAATTGACGATTAAAGAACAACCCACAAGGATATGTAATATAGACTTTAAAAAACTCATCTTCTAAATTACCTTTCTCTTTGCGTAACGAGAATTCGTGATAACGTCCTATGCATTAATAAGGGCAGTCATCTATCCATTTTTTGATAATTTCATACTTACAAAAATCCTTGCAGAAAATACATGAATCTTAATTCTTTTTTACTACAAACATTAAAATGATGGTACTGTGAATGCAAAAGTTTAATAAAATTTATCCGAAATTTTTTGACGTTAAAAGTAACATAAAATTTAAATTCATTTTGACGAAACACACAAACCTCTTAAATCACTGAAATGGAAAAATTTTGTGTACAGACTTCCAATTGGTGATAACATAAATATTTATATTCAAATAATGATAAAGCCTAATAAATAAACAATGAATATAAAAGGACTGTTAAGACACTAAATTATTTTCCTTGACCACTTCACTTTATAAAATCATCATTTTTGCTTATTGCCAAGACTCTTATCAAACGAGCCCCTTTATTGAGTTCGTACCTACATATACACATATAATCTTACCATATTTAAGTTAAAATGATGAAAATATCCACATTAGTTCTCTTGGTTATAATACCTTTGGTGTTATATAATTTCGTGGTCTCTATTTCTCATTCATTCGATCTTTGTTCTTCTCTTTCATCACCACGAGAAAATGTTATGATGTTCCATAACGTGGATGATGTATCGTCCCTCTGGAAATCTCAACAACTTATATTTAAATCCAAGAATGAGAATGGCTTAAACAAAATAACAACGTTCAATAATTGGATTGAACCTCTACCTTCTATGCTTGTTATGTTGGATGAGATAAATTGGTCTAGTTAATATAGATTTATAATTTTATTATTATATACTTAAATTACTTTTTCATTATTACTGTTTTAATAAGTTCTAAAATTATATTAATCATCTGAGAACATCTTTCTCTTTATAATATCATAATAAGTTTTGTAATTTTGCCGCTGTTCGCGGTATTAACATGATTAACGACATTCCTATTTTGGCGAATAAATTGATTCTAAAGTTTTATCCGTGTGTAATACATGTGAAGTACGCACATATGTACTGTACGTAAACACGCACATAACCAACACATACATATATTACCAAATAATGTAATTGGACTCACTTAAATAAACGTAACTTTCATACGGTCATATGACATTAGAATATTATATGTTTTACTTTATTCTTGAAAACGTACGTACGTACGTTAAAAAAAAAAGTTAACAATGTATGAACAAATGAGTAAATGCTAATTGTTAATGCGAAATTAATGCCGTTCGATTAGACAATGCATAAACTATGCAGTTATACTCAGGGATGGTGAGTAAATGACCTGGTCATTTGGGTCATTAGGTCATTTACATATGAAGTAATTTTATTGGTCAGATAGCTAATATAAAAAGTTATCGAACGCTGTGATTTCACTAATCGATATTTACATCTTCAGTAAAGTTGTTCAGGAGACAACTTTACTAAAATATCTATTAACTTAGTAAATTTTGACTTTTATATGTAGCTATGATTATCGATAATATTACTTTAATATATAATCAATTTCGATTGGTTAAAAGGTGTCAAATTATCAGTTAGCAAATGTTAAATGACCTTCTACGGTCATTTGACTGTTACTACATGCACTAGTCATTTGAGTCATTTGAGTCATTTCAAGTCATTTACCATCCCTGGTTATATTAGTTGTATAATCGATTCTGCTCCAAATTCACCACACTCTTCAAGAAATCAGATTTCAGTTCATCACCTTTGCAATTAAAAAACCAATGAAACAAACTAGGTGGTGAATTGCTATTTGTGAAAATTTAAATCAGTTCCAAATTCAACTTCGCACCAATCAAATCTCTTCAAATGATCGACACTAATCAGATCTTCAAAACAAAATAATGCGTGTGGGGTTCACAGTGACTACCAAAATTTTATAACCTTTTTTTTTTTTACTTTTTTAGAATTAATAATTGTTTTTTTATATAAACAAAAAAGTGTTCAACTTAATAAATTGTTTAACAATAGTTGTCACTGAAATATTGTAGACTCCCAAATAGCAAGTTTAAAATATATAAGCTGCTACCGTGTAGGATGTGATAGTATTACCACCACTATCACGGCCATTAGATCATTTGAGTGCGTGAGAGTGAAAACCTACAGTAAAGTTTCAGGTTTTCACTCTCATGCACTCATTTCAATCATCGTGACACAGTATAAGACTTAAAAAGAATTTAATACATACTTGTTATTTAATGGATATCGGTGGATACGGTGTATTCCACAGAATAATAGTAAAATCACGTGGCTGGAGGCCA